CCAGTGCAAATGTGCAGGAAAAAGGCATCATGAGTTTAAAACTAAAGTATCTCTGTTCAAGGAAGATATGAATAGAACATGTCGAAAACTCCAAGGACTCTATCAAGAAAAAAAATCTAAGGCTATTAACAGTGCTCAGCTGAATCCCAGGATACAAGGTCAACAAACAAGAATCAATCACAATTCTACAGACAGATGGTGACTACTGGAAAATAAGCATTTAAAAACAAAATCATTATAATAACTTTAAAAATGAAACACATACATATATATGAAGAAAACACATCATTATATGGTATTCTAACCCACCCAAAAGCCTGTGGCTGGGGAGGTCATAGGCCCTAGAAGGTAAACTGCAGCAGTTTTGCCAAATGAACATGATATGCCTGTCAAAGTGACTTCTAAATAGTTCTGTTTATCCTCATAGATTTGTCCTGCTGTCAGTTTTGGTCAAGGATGCTTCTTTTTACAGTGGGCAACAACTGTATAATTCTACTGATTGAATTTTAAATATAGAACCATCTTTGGGTCCCTGAAATGAATCCTACTTGATCATGGTATATTATTCTTTTTTGCGTATTTATAAGTCCAAATTGCTAGTATTTTAACAGTCACTGTTGTTCTCATTAGAGATGTGACTTTGTTTGTTTGTTTCTTTGTTTGTTTTAGTGCCAGGGCTACAACACTCTTCACAGATTCGGGTGAGGGCCTAAGGATTGAAATAAAGACAAAGGACAGCGGGTCATTCTTGCAATGAGAATGCCATTTATTGCAACAAGAGAGGAGCATTATATACCAGTTAGCAGGCACGATGGAAAACTACCAAAGTCAGAAGTTCATGTCCCCAGGGCCCTCTGGCAATAATGATGGACAGATAACAGGAACTTGCATTCAGGCAATAAGGATGGGTGGATAACAGGAACTTGCATTCAGGCTTCATTGGAAGATGGGAAACAAGTATTTGCTAAATAAGTTCCTAGTCACAAGCTGGTCAGCAGATCCATATGGGGGCAGGGTCCAACAATTCCCCCTCTTTTTTATGTATACAAATGAGCATTTGTCTTAGGTTGTCCGGGACATTAACGTCTGCTTTACCCATCATTGAAAAGCCTGCCCAGGCCCCGCAGACCCTCTGTCTTACGTTAACAGATGCCCCCCCAGTCTTACCTGTCAATGATTGTTTATTTGTCTTGTAGGCTCAGCCAGGCCTGTACTGAGGGGTAATCTGCTGTCAAGGAAAGCATGATATGTTTTGTTTGAAAATGGCGCTGGACTTGTGGCCTTCCCATGCTGCAAAGGCAGACTAGAGGTAAAACTGTGTTGCCCAGGGCCATAATCCCGAAGGCTAGCGACCCACTCCATACCTTAATTAACTGACCTGTCATCTATAGTCCCTTTAAGAGGGAGTCTCCCACAAGGGGAGGCACCCTGGTCTCAAAAATCTTAATTTGGGAAAATTGAGAGAAATTTGTTTTTATTTAAAGTGCCCAATTGTACTAGAGAAATATTATTTTGGGAACTTAGGGTAGAGGCAACCTCTCCTGGGAGTTTATCCAGCGTGCCTGCCATAGCAACTGATTCAGAGATAAACTGTAGCTGCCATGGCAGCAGCCACAGTAGCAGCCACGATAGCCACCATGATGTCAAAGTCTCTCTCCTGAGTGTTCCACTGGCATAGGCACGATACTAGCAACACGGACCACCGAGGTTGATATTTCACCATTCCAACAGCTTCTGAAGTGGCATTTTGGAATCAGGACAGGCGGGTTTCTGATGAAGGCCCAATAAGTCTTCTGATAGCTGGTGTGTAAGAACAACAGCTCTAACAGTGCATAACACCCCCAAGGACAGGTATCTTGTCCAATCCTTGAACGTTAACTGTAAAAGTTTTTATCTATGTTCCGTTCAAATACTGAGAAGGGGCTTTTGTCACTCATCACAGTCCATACTAGTGTCCAGTTGTTCTAAACAGGTCCTTTTTTCCCCAAAGGGAAAAACTGGCAAAATGAATTTTGTGTTTTAAGATGTCCAGTTCTTTGTCAGCTCCAAGATGAAGACTCACAGGTTTGGGAAGTCGAGGTAGTAGGCCTGTTGAGAAACTGGAAATCTTGAACTGACTGTTTTAAGGGTCAGGAACACTGGTTCATCAGATCTCACTCAAACTGGCTTGGGCAGGCTTTCACGGTCTCAGGTCCGGTTTTTCTGCGCTCTACACGTCTCACTAAATGGTCTGGCAGCCATCAAGCTTTATTCTTTTCCTATAAGAAAACAGAAACATTCCCTCCACCCCAAATTGGGTCTTTTTCACTGTCTGGTGTATGGATGTCCCCATCTGACCTGAGCAAAAGTTGTTAGAATTCCATCATGTTAGAATCTTTTTGTAGTAGATTGTTCACTGGCATCCACATTTAACAATTTTTAAACGAAGTGTTATGTACACCTACTTTTAGGAATGGGGTGGTAGTGGTGGTTTTTTAATCAGGGTCATGACATGATGCTCAGAATGTTGTTTAGAAGAATGGTATGCAATTATAGAATGTCTAGAAATCTTCCTTTTGTCTTTCTACTTCTGTTGTCTCTTAATTTCTTTCTGATCTGGTAGCATACTTAGTATGATTTCAGTTATTTTAAGTATGTTAAAGCTTGCTTTGTGATAGAGTCTCATTTGTTAATAAGTCACATGTTCTTGAAAAAGTCTGTTTTTAGTGGAGTGTTCTGGATGTCATTTGCATACATTCAATGGAGTTAACATAATTCTATATCTTTGTTAAATTTCTGTTTACTGGTTCTATGAGGTAATAAGAAAGGAGCACTCACTGAAGTGTCAAATTTGTCTATTTCTCCTGTCAGTTTCAGTTTTCAAGTACTCTGTGTGTGTGTGTGTGTGTGTGTGTGTGTGTGTGCTATGCATATGTGTTCACATATGTGGATGTATCTGTATGTGAATATGCATGTGCAGCCAGAAAGCAACATCAGGTGTCTTCCTTTTTTTGTGTATGGTAAGACCTAAAATGACAGACATCTTCCCAACCCTGCTTCACAAAATGTAAAGATCTCTTGTTAGATACACTTTCAGGAGCACTGTTGGAGGTGGTGTGTTTTTTAGACAGTGTCTTACTATGTAACTTCGTCTGGACTCAAACTCCCTGTGTCCTTCAAGCAAGCGTTGATCTCATAGTTCTTCTACCTCAGCTTTTGTAGTACTAAGATCACATGAGTGTGCAACTACTCCTGGCTTTGGGACTGATAGTTTTTGGTTTGGTTGGTTTGATTGTTTGGTTGGTTGGGTTTTGTTTTGCTTTGTTTTGTTTTTTGCCCTTATGTAATGTCAGACACTCTCTTGGGTGATTTTTTTCTTAATTTCTCACTCAAGTTCTACTTTGGCTGTTATGAATATGGTCACTCTAGTTTTTCTTTGATTGGTATTTCAATAAAATATTTTTCCATTCCTTTAACCTTTTTTCATTTATTTTATGTATACAGGTGTCTTATCTGCATCTATGTCTGTGCACCATGTGCATGCCTCATGCCCATGGAGGCCAGAATAGGGCATCAGATTTCTTGTAAGTGGAGTTACAAATGGTTGTGTGTATTGGGAATTGAACCCAGGTCCTCTGGAAGAAAAGGCCATGCTCTTACCCATTAAGCTATCTCTTCAGACTCATCTCTTTTTGCTGACAGTCTCTATATCTAGTACCAACTGACCTCAAACTTACTGTTTAGTCCAGGCTGGCCTCAAACTCAAGATCCTGTCTTTAACTACCAAATGCTGAAATTACAGGTATGCACCACCTTACCTAGCTGGTCCTTACTTTTTATCCAACTAGTATTATTACATTTGAAGAGTGTTCTTGTAGATAACAATGTAGTTTGAGTCATTAGTCTGTTGGAGCTATCATAACAAAGTACCACAGACTAAGTGCTTAAACGTCAAAAGTTTCTCTTTCAACAGGTCTAGTGGCTGGGAATTCCAAGATCAATGTTCTCTCTGACTTATTGTTTGGTTAGGGCCTGCTTTCTACTTGCAGGTGGCCTACTTGTTGTGACCTTGTTTTTCAACTCTTCACAATGTTCCTCTTCTTATACAGATCTTTATTGGCTCTGCTTTCATACCTTCCTTTAACTTTTCTTTTTCCTCTTATGGCAGTGCCTGAGATTGAATGTGGGCTTTGTGCTTGCTAGGCACGCACTCTACCAGTGATCTCTAGCCTTAACCCTTCATTTAAAGTTTAGTTCTCTCTAGAAATATCCTATCTGCAAATGTAATATATGAACGAGGCTCCAATATATGAACTGAATAGCATACAATTCAGTGCCTAATAATGCATAATATTTTTAACCCACTTGAAAATTTTCATTTAATTGGTGTATTTTAGTCATTTTACCTTTAATGTAATTATTGATACCCTTGGATTTAGGTGTACCATTTCATTATTCATTCACTGGTGTTTTTTTCCATTTTACTTGGTAGTGATTCCTCTTGTGTTGTAGAATATTATATTATTTTGAGGTATGTTGCTTTTGTTTATGTTCTGGAACATTTGTTCAATGATGCAAAGATGTGTTTGATTAAATATAATTCACCTGTGGTCAGGAGGCTGGGACAGCAAACAGCTGACAGGAAGCTGTAGGGAGGAGCCAGGTGGAGAAGCGTTTATAAGGAGGGGTGAGAAAAAGCATGAGGACTTCTTGGGAGACAAGAAGAGGTGAGCTAGGTGAGCTGCTTGCTATCAGCCTCTCTGGGAAGCAGGATTCTACCTCAACCTTTGAATCTTGAGTTCTTTAGCAGGACAGAGATTTAAATAAGTTTTCTTAGTGGCTTTGAAAGAAGCGTCAGTGCCTGAGGGAACAGAATTTCCTCAAGCCTTTGGCTCTTATGGCATAGCTGCTGCTGGTAGCAGCAGAGTTGCAGCTGCTGACTAGGATAGCAGCAACAATTAAAAAGAAAGACAACACTCTTGCTGCCTTTAATTTTTTAAAACCTTTTTTTGTATCACATAGTTTTTTATCTATCTGTGTGTGCTGAGAATTGAACCCAGAATCCCTAGTATGCCAAGCATACTTCTCCACTGAGTATTCTGTATTATTTTTTGAGACAGGGTCTTTCTATGTAGCCCAGTGATTTCTATTATATTAAGTTTGTCAAAGCTTGTTTCCCAGTTCATACATACTTAAAAAAAAGTATGCTCTGTTCTTTAGTAAGATATTCTGTGTGTGTTAGCAGTCAGTGGTATTGTTTAGTTGTATACCCTTTTGTTTGTTTGGTTGGGTTTTAGTTGTTTTGAGACAGTCTCACTCTGTAGCCCGTGAATGGCCTTGAGCTCACAGAGATCTGCCTGTTCTGCTTCATGGGTGCTGGGATTAAAGTCCTGTGTTGATTTTCTATCTACTGATTCTTTCCATTTCAGGATGTATTGGAACTTGATATACAGCCCCAAACTGGTCTCGAACTTGAGATCCCCCTGCCTCCTCTTCTTCCTAAGCATTGAGATTGCAAGTAAGTACCACCACACCTGGCCCTTGGCTGTATATTAGACTATATATCTATTTACATAATTTCTTTTTTTTGTGTTTGCTATAGAGGTTATCATGTTTACTTCCCTTTATACAGTATGATTAATGTTAATATTTTTACCTCTTTAGCAGGATGTATGAATTTGGCTATTATAAGTCTCCTTTCTGTTTTGGTTGCCATAGTTCCACATGCATTGAAAATTACACTGAACACTGTTACGTTGTTTTTGTCTCTTTGTTTTGGGGTGTTGTTTTTATGTAGAGTTTCAGTATGTTTGCTGTGAAGTCCCAATTTCCTAGGTTCATTTGATCTTCCTGCCTTGGCTTCTTGAGTAGGTGCCACAGCCGTATGCTACTACATATGGCTTCACATTGTTATAATTAGTGCTTTCAACATTTTCATATTTTAGAGGATTGAAGACAAATGACGTTATTATATTTATCTTTTTAAACAACCCACTGTGCTGTTCTTCCTTTGTTGTTGATGATTCAGATTTCCCTCTGTAATCAGTTGTCTGTCTGTAAAGTGCTTTTAGTAATTATTTTCTGATTAAGTCTACTGGCAACATATTTTTCCTTTATTTGAATATCTTTATTTCACTTTTATTCCTAAAGGAAATTTCCATATCACATGTAGTTTTTTCAATGTACCATCATTTCTTATTTATGTTTTGTTTGTGCATACATTGTGCTTGTGGAGGACAGAACACAACTTACAGAAGTCAGTCCTCTCCTACATTGTAGGTTTCAGGCATTGAACTCAGGCTATCAGGCTTGGAGACAAGTATGCTTACCTGATGAGATATTTCACTACACTAAGCGATCATTCTTTGTGGCACTTCAACATGCTGTTGTGCTTCCCTCTGCACTCTGTAACTTCTGATAAATATACAGTCATTTGAATAGTTAATTCCCCTATATGTATTATTTTCCTTTGGGTGTATGTTTCAGCAGTTTTATGATAATGTTTCTGTGTATGAAATCCTTTGTTTTTATCCTATAACAGACTGTTCTACCTCCTAAACCTGAAGACCCTGTGTTTTGTCAAATTTGAGACACAATGAGGAATTATTCTGTCAAATACATTTCTGAGTCACCCTCTTTCTCCCCGGCTTCTGGAACTCTGATAAACTGAGATTGGTATTATCCTTCGTGGTCCCAGAGATGTTCTTCTTTCCCTTGCTCACCCTAGTGCTTCCTTCCCCATTTTCCAGACTGGACAATTTGTGTTTACCTTGGGAGACTTTGCTCTTTTTTCCTAGTGTCTCCATTGTGCTATTGTGTCCTTCCAATGGGAGCTTAGTTTAGTTATTGTCCTCTCCAATTTTATTTATTTTTTAATTAATATTATTTAAATTAAACACAGTCTTATTTTACATACTAATCCCAGTTCCCCCTCCCTCCTGCCCTCCCATTCCCCTCACCTACCTCCCATCCCACCCTGTCCTCTTCAATTTTAAAAAGGTCCATTTTGTTCTTCATTAGATCTTTTGTTTCTTTGCTAAGACCCTAATGACTCCCTAAGCATTTGTCCTTCTTAATGTTTTTAACATTTTTTATCATTTTTTATTTTAATTTTAAATACCTTGTTTTACATGTCAATCCCAGTTCCCTCTCCCTCCCGTCCTCCCGCACTCCCCTTCCCCCTCACCCTCCCACCCTATTGCCACTTCCTTCCACATAGGGGATATCTAGAGTCTGTCATTTCACTCCGGGAAGGGTCCAGGCACTCCCCCTAAGAGTCCAGGCTGAGAGAGCATCCCTCTTTGTGTTATGGGCACACAATGACTGTTTGTATTCCAGGGATAGACACTGTTCCACTGCTCAGGGCCCCATAGGTTGCCCAGGCCTTCTCGCTGACACTAACATTTGGGAGGTCCAGATCAGTCCCATGCTGGCCTCCCCGCTGTCGGTCTGGGGTCCAAGAGCTCTCCCTTGTTCAGATCAACTGTCTCTGCTGGCTTTGCCAGCCCATTCTTTGCCAATTTGCTCATCACTCCTCTCTCTCTGTCACTGGGTTCCTTGGGTTCAGTTCAGTGCTTAATTGTGTGTTTGCCTCTGCTTCCATCAGTCACTGGATGGAGGCTCCCAGATGGTTATAGACATCAAGTTCATTATCAGGAATGGACATTCGAGGTGGTCTCTCCACTATTGCTTAGCTTGCCAATTGGTGTTATCCCTTTAGATCACTAGAGGTCACTCTGGTCCCTGATCTGTCTTCTAATCTATGATTCCCTCTTCCCCCTATTCTATCCCTACCCACTCAACTTCCTGTTCCCCCATGACCTACTCTCTCTTCCTCTTCTCTCCCCCTCTTCTTCCCAGGTCCCACTCTCCCCCACCCCCTCGCCGTGTTCCCCATCCATTCAGAGGATCTTGTCTCAATCCTCTTCTCTTGGGTACTATGCATATATGCATATCTTTTAGGTTTTTTCTTGTTTCCCAGACTCTCTATTAGTGGAAGTGCAGACTGGCACTATCCTGATCCATGTCTAAAACCCATATATGAGTGAGTACATACCATGTTTGTCTTTTTACGACTGGGTTACCTCACTCAGGATGGTTTCTTCCAGTGCTATCCATTTACCTGAGAATTTCAAGATTCCATTGTTTTTTTCTGCTGAGTAATACTCCATTGTGTAAATGTACCACATTTTCTCTATCGACTCTTCATTTGAGGGGCATCTAGGTTGCTTCCACGTTCTGGCTATTACAAATAATGCAGCTATGAACATAGTGGAGCAGATGCCCTTATTGTATGAATTTGCCTCATTTGGATATATGCCTAAGAGTGGAATTGCTGGGTCTAGTGGTAGATTAATTCCCATTTTCCTGAGGAATCTCCATACTGATTTCCAAAGAGGCTGTACGAGTTGGCACTCCCACCAGCAGTGGAGTAGAGTTCCCCTCTCTCCACATCCTCTGCAGCATAAATTGTCGTTGGAGTTTTTGATTTTAGCCATTCTGACAGGAGTAAGATGGTATCTCAGAGTTGTTTTGATTTGCATTTCCCTGATAGCTAAGGATGTTGAGCACTTTCTTAAGTGTCTCTTGGCCATTTTAGCCAAGTTCTGTACCCCACCTTTTAATTGGATCCTTTGGTGTTTTGGAGACGTGTTTCTTGAGTTCTTTGTAAATTTTGGAGATTAGCCCTCTGTCAGATGTGGGGTTAGTGAATATTTTTCCCATTCTGTGGACTGCCTTTTTGTCTTGTTGACTGTGTCTATTGCCTTACAGAAGCTTTTTAGTTTCAGGAGGTCCCATTTGTTAATTGTCAATCTCAGTGTTTGTGCCACTGGTGTTATGTTTAGGAAGTGGTCTCCTGTACCAACTCGTTGAAGAGTATTTCCCAATTTCTCTTATAAAAGTTTCAGTGTGGCTGGATTTATGTTGAGATCTTTGATCCATTTGGACTTAAGTTTTGTACAAGGCGATAAACATGGATCTATCTGCAGTCTTCTGCATACCAGTACCCAGTTATGCCAGCACCATTTGTTGAAGATGCTTTCTTTTTTCCATTCTACAGTTTAATCTTCTTTGTCAAAAATCAAGTGTTCATAGGTGTGTGGGTTAAAATTAGGATTTTCAATTTGTTTCCATTGGTCTACCTGCCTATTTTTGTGCCAATACCAAGCTGTTTTCAGGACTATGGCTCTATAATAGAGCTAGAAGTCAGGTATGGTGATACCTCCTGAAGTTCCTTTATTGTATAGGGTGGTTTTGGCTATCCTGGGCCTTTTGTTTTTCCATATAAAGTTGATTAATTTTCTTTCCAGGTCCTTGAAGAATTGTGATGGAATTTTGATAGGGATTGCATTGAATCTGTAGACTGCTTTTGGCAAGATTACCATTTTTATTATGTTGATCCTACCAATCCAAGAGCATGGGAGATCTTTCCATTTTCTGGTATCCTCTTTGATTTCTTTCTTTAAAGACACAAAGTTCTTGATATACAGGTCTTTCACTTCCTTGGTTTACATTATCCCCAGATATTTAATGCTGTTTTGCCTATTGTAAATGGTGATGTTTCTCTGATTTCTTTCTCAGTCACTTCATCATCTGTATATAATAGGGCCACTGATTTTTTTGAGTTTACCTTGTATCCTGCCACATTGCTGAAGGTGTTTATCAGCTCTAGGAGTTCCCTTGCAGAGTTTTTTGGGTCACTTAGGTAAACTATCATATCATCTGCAAATAGTGAAAGTTTGACTTCTTCTTTTCCTATTTGTATCCCCTTTATCTCCTTTTGTTGTCTTATTGCTGTAGCTAGAACTTAAAGTACAATATTGAAGAGATATGGAGTGGACAGCCTTGTCTTGTTCCTGATTTTAGAGGAATTGTGTTGAGTTTCTCTCCATTTAGTTTGATGTTAGCTGTTGGTTTACTGTATATTGCTTTTATTATATTCAGGTATGTTCCTGTTATCCCTGATCTCTCTAGGACCTTTATCATGAAGGGGTGCTGGATTTTGTCAATGGCTTTTTCAGCGTCTAGTGAGATGATCATGTGGTTTTTCTTTTGCAGTTTGTTTATATGGTGGATTACATTGATAGATTTTCTAATGTTGAACCATCCCTGCATTCCTGGGATGAAGCCTACTTGATCATGGTGGATGATTTTTCTGATGTGTTCTTGAATCCGGTTTGCGAGTATTTTATTGAGTATTTTTGCATCGATGTTCATGAGGGAAATTGGTCTATAGTTCTCTTTCTTAGTTGTGTCTTTGGGTGGCTTGGGTATCAAGGTAATTGTAGCCTCGTAAAAAGAGTTTGGCAGTGAGCCTCCTGCTTCTATTGTGTGGAATACTTTGAGGAGTATTGGAATTAGCTCTTCTTTGAATTTCTGATAGAATTCTGCACTGAAGCCATCTGGGCCTGGGCTTTTTTTGTTTGGGAGACTTTTGATGACTGCTTCTATTTCATTAGGGGTTATATGTCTGTTTAGATTGTTTATCTGCTCTTGATTTAGTTTTAGCAAGTGATA